AGTAAGCCCTGCCAGAAGTGGTTTTTGGTCCGTCATCTGGATCGTCACTAACCCCAGTGGTGGGAAGTCCATCAGTTCCGACAGAGTGTCACCAATGGACTGATGGAAACACGTTCCACGTGTCTCACACGCGTTTGTTTTTGGGGGTGACGACACCGGTGTTGATTTGAGTGTAGGGAAGTCCTCTTACAGAAAAAAAAAAAATAATCAACATTGCTCGTCAATCTGGTGATGTGGTTGCGTTGGCTGCTAAACCTCGGTTTCCATTCTCCAAGCCTGCTTCTATTTTAGGTCATCCCAGCCAGCAAAGGAAGCTGGCGGTTTTGTATACCTTTTAGTCCCACAGAACACAATGACATTGCCTCATATTGTTTTTATTTCACCACTCTTTGTATTTCTCTTTTTTTTTTTCAAACTCCTTTGTGTCAGTTTGTGCTGCACCTCTGTGTGACGTAGTGACCGGGACAGCCTAAAATAATTAATGTAATAAAGCGCGATGTTGGGCAATGTCAGAAAACTACAAACAATTGTTATAAAAATCCACATGCACACCTCTACGGTAAAGCCACCTACATCAGTGTTTCATCCATCAAGTTAAGTTTCCCGTCAATCTTGAGCAAAATGGGTGTATGTCAGTGACACACTGGCGGACCTTCCGTCAGTACTGACGGAATGCCCACCTTTGTAAGAGAGTATATAAACAGGGAATCATTTTGGACGGGTTAGATCGCATCTGTGTTGTTGACGAGTCTCCATTGCGGTATGTTGATCTTTCTTTCAATCGGTCCACACATTTTGCTGAAGAAGCTGGTTGGGTTCAATCTCAATCCTTTCTTAAGTGGTGCCACTCCTTTTTATCCAAAAGATCACAGCGTGTGAGATTTAACTCTGTACTCTCTGATGATGTTATGTGTAACACAGAGCCACCCCAGCACTGAGTGAACTCGGTGCACCCTATTTACAAATGACTGTATTAGCTCCCAACCAAATCAGTATGTTGTCAAATTCTCAGATGACACAGCTATTCTTAGTCTGCTCACTAGTGACTCTGACATCAGTAGCCACTGTGCCAGGATTGGCACATTTGTTGACTGGTGCAATGAGCAGTCCTGAGCATAAATGTGAAAAAAAAAAACTGAGGAAATGGTATATGCCTCTAAGTTTGTATGGATTTTGGATGAGTGTTGTGTTAGTCTGCGCTGTATTTTGTCCACACTGCATTGTCCAATGTATGTCGCAGCATGGGCTTGTCCTCCAAGACAAGTTTCTCCTGCGGGAGACCAAATAAAGTCAAATTCAAATTCTTATATCATTAAACCTGTTAGAATTTGACTCGCACTCCTCTGTCTGGTCTTTCAAAATACAGCAAGGACTAAGGACAAAGAGCCAGAAGAGGTTCAGTTGGAACCTATCAAAAGAAAGAATGAATACAAACACATTTAATGTATTCTTTACACTTTTTTAACCCGGAAGAAAACATTGAGATTGTCTTGGCCAAGGCAAATACCACTAAATACAGGTGATCATCTCATCAGTACGCAAACAACACAAAATGCAATCAGTACTGTACTCTAATTTGGAAAAATCCCTCTGACTGAGTCACATTTCTTTCCCTTCATTTTTCTTTTTTAACTGAAATATTTGGTGCCTATTAACTGCATAGTGAATAGTAACAAACGACTTCAGTGCTTCAGTGACCCTCTGTGCCACCTGCAGCACATTCTCTCAGTTGTTGTACTTGCTACTAATGAGTGGAAATTGCTACAGCTGAGAGAGGTCGAGGAACCTGGCCATCAAATGAATATCAAACTCAGCCAAAGTCAAACCACTTCATTCCAAGTCTCAGAAAAAGAAGTGCAACACCTCTGTATTGCCTGGAGGCAGATGGGATCACCAATCCGCTGCAGTTAGAAACTTGACTTGGAACAGACCAGCTCACCAGCGATGTTCTATATGCCCGTAGCGAGTGTTCTTTAGTAGGAAATGTGACATCAATTGACCCATTTTGAATACATTCTTCAGCAACTGAAATCAAGCGTAGACACTTGAATGAAGGGTGATAGCATGAAGAGAAAGGTTCAAACAAAAATTATACAGAAAATGAATTATGTTGTTCACATTTAGTACATTGAAATGACATGGCATTTGTCAAGTAAGGGCCAGCTCAATGTATTCATGTGCTATTCCTGCATGAACATAAAGAAATAGATGACGGTTGGATGTTGGGTATATCAGGAGCAAGAATAAGCACAATCATGAACTGTACTTTATCTTCTAAAGCAGGGGTGTCAAACTAATTTTTGTCGCGGGCCAGATTTCAGTTACAATTTCCCTTGGAGGGCCATTATGACTGAAACCATATGAAGAAGTCAAGAATAACGGTTTATTCATCTATTGTTTAAGTTACTGTAATGAGGGGTTTGGTAACAAGAAAATGCGGACAGTATCACTCTTATTTGTTACAAATGAGAATTTGAAATTTGGGGAGAGATTTTAGCAAGCATCATGAAAGTTGACAACTTTGATTTGCTTTCGCGGGCCACATAAAATTATGTGGTGGCCCCTGGGCCTTGAGTTTGACACATGTGTTATAAAGTGTACAAGGTAAAAGAAAACCTAATCTGAAGATTTTACATGCCTGCCAATTACCTCAGCTTGGCCTCATAGCCACCTACAGCCCCAGAGCAGAGTAAAACAGTCAGTGCCGCCTTGTGATCCTGTTTATGAAGGAAAATGTGATGAAAAGATTGAATTAGTATTACTTGTATCTCATGGTTCGTAGGCAGTTTGCAGAAATGGGAAAAGAATGGCACCAATACAAACAAGTGACATTCAAAACACCATTGATTTTGACTTCCACCTCCTCCCTCCAGGGGCTAGCCACAACGAATCATTCACGTGATTAGTTTGGACTTTTATTTATTTATTTTTTATACCGGATGCCATTCCTGACACAACCCTCCAGTTTATCCTACGGCTTTGAGCAGCGCTGGGCTGCTCCATGCAGTGGCTCGGGAACAACAAAATTCTATTAAATAGAACATTTTTGCCATGTTCAAGGTGAAAGTTTCCAGTAGCAAAGTGGTGGTTGGAAAAAATTGGGTTTGAAGCATGAATCATGCTTGAATGAATCATCATCGAATGAATCAATGAAGCATGACTCATCAAAATGTCTCGAGAGGGAAGAAATTTCATCTGTGCTGTATGTTGCAACATACAGCACATTTGACAATAAAGTTGTACTTGGCTTGAATCATCTTTTATGTAGAATGTATCAACTGGGAGGAAAATTATAAAGCTGGGATCTGAAATGATATAGTTAAATACATAAAGTATTTGCATTTTATGTAGTTGCTTTGTTCTTTTCCCACATATTATTTGCTTAAATAGTGACTTTAATTTGACGTGTTTGGTTAACAACAAAACAGTATTTTCTACTGCAGTCATACCTGGAGGCGACGAAAAAGAAACGTCGATTGTTTGCTGCCATCTTTTGTCGTAATATTGCATTACAGATAATGGTTGACCCTGATACGCTGGTCAACAGCATTTAATCAGTACTGTAATGGCTTTATGTGTCCCTAAACGTATTTTTGACGCAAAAAATGTTTTTACAAAGTAGCATATCCGTTTTTGAAAGCTTTTCATTTTTTGTTTTTAACTTTGTCCTCTAAATGCTTGCACAATATGGGTTTTCACCCTGCGTTTATTTTATAGCGATGACGTGTCATTAAAAAAAAAACACCGGTGTTGATGAACTGACGCCTTATTCGTTTATTTGCGTCGCTGATTCAAGTGAACAAATTTTGACCAATGTGATTAATAACATGTGTGAATACCTTCGGCATTCTCACAAAAATAAAATTAATACAATAACTACTTGACACAAAGAAGTAGCTTCCTGTGTCCAAGGTTTCTTGACTAGTGGTCTTCAGGACAAGCAGTTTATCAAAACCCATTGACTCAAATAAGCTGTAGATTGTATACTGATGGTATTAATATTAACAACGCTTGGCAGTATAAGCAGAGTACAATCATTTTTTTTCTTTTTTAATGTCAAAATAAATGTTAATTTATTCTTTCGATCATAATCCCATTGGGATAGAGACCGACTACGAGTTGAATACAACAAAACTACACAGAGTGACAAGTGAAATATATGACTCTCATGATATTGTGCATTATATACGTACCATTGTATATGGGTCGCAAATAGATATGTAAAAAAAATCGTCACTGTCAAAGCAAACTCGAAGAAATGTGGTCAGAATAAAGTCGAATCTTTGACTTCCGGGAGTAATAAATACTTTCAAGTTTAAAACTTTGAAAAAAATGTTGCATTTACGTTAAACGAGCCACTCAGATAACATGAAGGCATTGATCACGACAGTATTTTTTATGTAATTATTATCCATACAATATTGTGCACTTGATTTTTTACAGATATACTGTATCAAACAATTTCTGGGCATGAGTGTTTTCATTTAGCTTTAAAGAGTTGTGGTCGCGTTCCGTACAATGGGCTCATCTCATTTATCTAATCTCAGCATCCTCGCCCGTCACCTTGCTTTTTACATGCTAGCACTTTCATCCATCCGAACTGTTATCCAAACGAGGGTCGCGGGCTGGAGCCTATCCCATGTATTCGGGACCTTCGAAACAGTAAGCTGCTTCATCAGTAACCATGAGCCAAAGAAAGTTTTTCTGGTATCATTTACTACCCCAAAATAAAACAGACACTCAGCAAAATGTGTATTGAAACTAAAGTTACCGAAAAAAATGACACAAACGTGGATTATAACTACAGGTATTTAATTTTAAAACCTGCGTCCTTGATGGGACTGATGGTACACGCCCATTTTCATTTACACAAACGTGGATTATAACGACAGGTATTTAATTTTAAAACCTGCGTCCTTGATCAATAATATCCAGCTGCAGACTCCAATAATATCCAGCTGCAGACTCGGAGGAGGTAGTACGTCACCCTGGAGGAGCTACAGGACTTCCGCGGAGAGTACGTCAGACGTCCCTCTATTCAAGCTAGCCCGTGGAAGTTCCTCATTGCTACGTCCTCGCACCTCAGTGTGCGTTAGCGAGAGTAAATGAAGACCTTTCTCTTCAGTCATGAATAGGACGCAGCTGAAGCGGTCCAGTATTTTGAGAATGGCTGGTGTGGAAATGGTGAACCGAGACGGAATCGAGGAGACCTTCCTCCTCCGGGCTGCGAGGATCGCAGCTGTGGTAGCAATGTACTGGTTCGTCTCCATAACAATGGTGTTCCTCAATAACCACCTTTTGGACAACCACGACCTGGACGCACCGCTATTTGTGACATTCTACCAGTGCGTTGTGACTGTGGTGCTCTGCTGGCTGATGCAGTTGTTGTCTGCCGTGTGCCCGCAACTGATCGATTTCCCGTCGGTCAAATTTGATGTGAAGACGTCCCGCGAAGTTCTGCCCCTGTCGGTGGTCTTTATCAGCATGATAACATTCAACAACCTGTGCCTGAAACACGTCGGAGTGGCCTTCTACACTGTGGGACGTTCCCTCAGCACTGTATTTAATGTGTTGCTGTCGTATGTGGTCCTGAGGCAGACCACTTCCTTCAAAGCCATATCGTGCTGTGGGATCATTCTAGGTACGTCGGTTCATATTTCACTTAGTCTTTTGAGTAAACACGTTAGGAAACCTGAACTGGTCTTGTGATCGTAAACGCACACTACCAAAAACAACATACTGAATTGCAACATTCTGCTATTATCACTATCAAACAAATGGCATTGGAAATGACACTATTTAAACTATTTAAAAGTAACCAAGTCTTTTTTTTAAAAGTAACTTATTTTTTTTTTTTTTTTTTTTTTTTTTTTTT